CCTATAAAACACACCACATGTATGTCAAGACATTTCTAGGTCATTTTGGTTAGGAAAAGCTATAAACCTGAAATTTCCAGAATCGTGTCTTACCCTTGGTCTCGATGCCGAAGAGATCAAGAAATTCGTTTTGGACGACAACGAATTCAAACTATACGGTCTTCGAGAACATGTCAAAATCGACCAGCTGAATTTTAGGCTGAAAATTTCCGAAGAACGATGCGAAGAATTGCTGAAACTAGTGCTTAAAATTATTTTGGATAAGTTTCGAGAAGTTCGAGAGAAGGATGAGCTGGAGGCGGAGCTTGCATGGAATGTGGCTATTGGAGAGGTGAAAAATTGCGCTTTTGGGCTCAAATTTTGATTTTCTAGAGAAAAATTTTTTTTTTGGAAGTTTTAGAAAAAAAAAATTCAAAAAAAAATTTTTTTTTTGAATTTTTTTTGAATTTTTCCTAATTTTCAAATACTTATTTTCGCCTGAAAATTTTTGAATTTCTGCATAGTTATGTTTCCCCATTTCCAGATGTCCACCTCGAAACCTCCAATTGAAGAGCACCAAGTTCTCAAGGCGCTGGAAATTTTTTGCCACAAAATTGATAAAGACGATACGCCGGTAACGATGAAAAAGGAAAGAAAAGGAGCGAAGAAGTGAGATTCTTTTATTTTTTAACTTTTTGGAAAAAAAAATACATTTTTTTGAAATTTGCAAAATTTTGGAAAAATTTCTCGAAAAAAAATTTTTTCCTAATTTTTCGCCATTTTTTAAAAGTTTTTGACCTTTTCCCTCAAAAATTTGTTCCATTTTTTCGTGATTTTTTATTAAAATTTCAGCAATATTTTCGATTTTCTAAAAATTCGATTTTTCGAAAATTCTCCAAAAATTCAAAATTTTGAAATTTTCCAAAGTTTTTTTGAATTTTAGTAAACTTTGAGATTTTTTAAAATTTCTCCAAAATTTTCAATTTTTTAAAAATTTCCGGAAATTTTTAGATTTTTTTCCGATTTTTCAAATTTTCGTAAAATAACAATTTTCAAAAT